CTTTGGTTATGGTATGTCCTCTCCAAGACCGCCAGGTGTGGTGTCCACTGCTGTGTTCTGCACTTTAAGTTCATTTTGAGAGCCCATGCCACTAGGCTGCTACCCAGAAGCCTCTTACACTTCTGCAAGGTGCCAGCCCGGGGGTAGACCAGTGCACACAGAGGAGCAGGCATGAAGGTCTTAGAGGTGCCTCAAAGAGCAGTGTCAGACTGCCTCCTGTCCTTAGGCCTCGTACTGTCTCTACCACAGGGGAGTGCGCACTGGACCTGGGATGGTGGCTGTCATAAGGGTTAAGGTGGAATGTGCAGAAGTAGCCAGGCAGTGAGTGTCAGGTCTCACTGTCCCTTCCCTTCCAATCATCAGCACCCAGGTTGGGTTACAGGAAACACGTCACATTATATAAGGTCATCCATGCAACCAAGTTGTGAGCCAAATTGACTCCAGGTCCCCAAGCCTCAGTGGCAGCACCAAAGCCACTGTGACCTCACTGAGTGCCTGCTCCTATGACTGGAGGCTCAAGTCACTAGAAGTCATCAATTCCCAAAGGACCCAGGAGGTGGGCGGGGGAGGGGCTGAGATGAGCGAGCCCACAGCACATCACCTATCTACGCTCTATCACACCACGCACCTGGCAAAAGGCCAGGCCGCCCCTGCTCCACAGCCCCACACGGGCCCGCCTTGAGTCCAGTGGCAGCTGGGAGGGTGAAGGGAGGGGGCAGCGATCAAGGCTGGTGGCCCCCATGCCTTATCACCTTCCTCCCACTTCTGCTCTGCAGCCAGCCTCATCCTCTTTCTCTCTCATGGAGCCATCTGAGGCCCTGTCCCATCACCTCTGTTTGTTCAAGCTCTGGGCTACGTCCTTCCTGAAGAAAGCACCCGGCAGTGGCAGGCAGGGTGTACTTCAGGCCCTGGGAACTGCCAGGCCAGGCAGAGGTGGCCAGAGCCGCGTGGGCATCCAGTGTCCTGCACAGCTGGGGAACTGCTGCCTGTGATGCTGCTGGCCAAAGCTCAGGGCTCTCAGCACTACAGGAGGGTCTCCCGAGGGCCTTTCCCATCAAGGCAGGTGGGGACCTGGTTCAGGCACTGACCACTCCCAGGCTTTGCTCTGGACATAGCTGACCAGCAGTTCTTGTGCTCCCAGGGAGCCCTCCTGGGCCCCCAGTGCCAAACTTCCTGTTAGCGGCATGACAGTGTGTTTCCTTACTTCACAGAAGTCATCCCATTCTGTTCGTGTGTCATGCTGGACTAAATTCAGTCTAGCTTGGACCAAAGCTCCCCCTGTCTGAATGCTTGCAACGCAGGACCAGGACTGTACCTCTCACATAGCAGGCATTAGACAAATGCCCACCGAATCACCAAGTAAAATAACCTCCTTCAGGTTAGGGTTTGGAACTTGGAGAAAA